CAACAGGTAATATGCAAGACAATGATGAGCAGTCATCCTTGGAAAACACTAGTGTTGTTTATGCTCTTGAAGAAGAGTTTTCGGGTTTGGCTTACTCAACAAACATCTCTGATAATGGAACTTGGGAATCGGCACAAGATATTCCAACTCAATTAGATTGGGATCTCTTGACAGAAATTGAAAACTCTGAAGAATATGAGAGGTTAGAAATGGAGGAGGTATGTATATCTGGAAATTACGGAACTTGTGTGATATGAGCTCAATCCCACCAGTTCTTCCACGCCTTTTTTAGTGTCAATGTAATCTTTCTTGAAAGACACCTGACACGGAATTTTTTCTGTACTTGTAGCTATCTGAAAGAATGGAGAGAGACCCTGGTCTATGGGATGATATATATCGTAATGCCCGAAAAGTTGAAAAGCTTAGGTTTGAAGCAAATGAGAGGGATGAGGGAGAACTTGAGAGAACAGGCCAGTCAGTTTGCATTTATGAGATATACAGTGGATGTGGGACCTGGCCGTTCTTGCACCATGGTTCTCTGTACCGTGGATTAAGTCTTGTGAGTTTCTTTCTCCTGTTTCCTTTTTGTGTATTTTTACGCTGTTTTAATTTCTCACTTTATTATTCAGTATTTCTACTATTCTCTTAGTTACATCTCTGCAAGTCTCATGTTCTTTTCTTAATAATTCTATTCTGTGACTTGGATGCATTTCTACTGAGAACTGCAATGAAAGCATTTAAACATGCTATAAATTACATAAAATATCTACATTTCGTAACAGATATAAATCTTTGTTTAAATACGAAAGCCCTAGTTCTCTCTTGAACTCTGAAATAATATTTTACATATGAGTCAATTGCCTTATCTTTTGAATTTATCCTACAATGTATTTGGTAGTCAACCAGAGCACGGAGATCAAGATCAGATGATGTGGATGCTGTTGACCGGCTTCCCATATTAAATGAAACTCACTATCGCAATATTCTCTGTGAGATTGGAGGAATGTTCGCTATTGCAAACAAGGTGGATAGCGTCCATAAGCGACCTTGGATTGGGTTTCAATCTTGGCGTGCTGCTGGTAGGAAGGTATTTCTTATTGTGGTGGGAATTTTTCTTTAAAGTTATTTGTGAGTCTCACTGGGTCCCTCCCTGCAACGTGGTTATGATCCTAACCATCTATTTTGTATGCATCCATTTAGTGATTATCTGAGAAAAAAATCTACAAAATCGAAAACTGTTTAGTCATCTATTTGTCATTAATAAATAGATGAATGTTTTGAATTAACATAGAAATAAAATGATATTCAAATAGGTAAATAATTTCTAATTTGACTGATTTTTTGCGTGGATGATCCTTGAATGGGAATCTAACAACTGGATGGTCCATATCAAAGGATCACATTGTGGGGTGGACTGCAAGAATTAGAATTTGGTCCTTTTGTTAACATGAGGACTTCATATTTATATGCATACATACGTGCATATATTCACACAAACCTGTCAGTTCTTTGGAATGGTTTTGGTGTCACAGAAAAATAAAATAAAATTATAGTTCAACTTTGATGTACTAATGAAAGATATCAGCTACAACACAATTTTTGAACCTGGTATATCCTGATTCAACCGTATGTATATATGCACGTATACTTGAAGAAAAAGAAAAAGAAGAAAAGAAATGTATGTGTGTGTGTGTGTGTGTGTGAATGCATTGTTCTTTAGTTTCGCATCATATTCATCATTGTTTTCCCCAAGCAGGTTTCTTTGTCCAAGAAAGCTGAAAAAGTTTTGGAAGAAGCAATACAAGACAACACGGAAGGTGATGTGATATACTTTTGGGGACGCTTGAACATGAATGGTGGGATGACGGGAAGCAAAGATGCACTCACTTTTTGGTCAGCATGTGACATCTTGAATGGGGGCCATTGCAGGTAGGTTTTATGAAATATTAGTTGAGCTAGTGTTGTTTGCACACATAACTTGGGTGACTTATAGCTGTCACTGTTTTCATGGGTTGCGAATATAATATGTGATGCCATGTTCTTAGGAGATATGCTCTTGAACGTGAAATTCTTTGGTGAGGCAGCTGTATGCGACCACCTCTGACAGTGGGTGGGAAGGTGGCCACTTAGGGCTGTGCTATATAAGAATTATCCTCTTGAACAGTGGGTTTTATGGCTGGTATTATGAGATTATGAGGTCCACTTAGAACCAAATGATTCCAGTTTCATTAGTATTACCATTTTTTTGGCCAGAGCATTCACATAACTTTATAATACATTTTTGGAATAATAGACCAAACCACACAATTAGCTTTGTTTTAAGTTTCATAAAATCATGTACGAAAACAAGTTTTTTACCAACTACTCTTTGATATTGTCAGGCAAAAAAAGGAAGGTATACATGCTAAAATACAGGGTTTTTTTTTTTCAATGAATCAAAAAGATTGGCCATCAGTTTCGTAATGTGAGCATGCACAAAACGTTCATTCATAGACACTCCCATGTATTAATTGGGTGTTTAAGGTTTCATATTTCCACAATTCAATTCTGATTGGGTTTGTCTTGGTCCTATAATCATGAGTTTGATTTCATTAATTCATCAAGATTGATGTTCCTTGAACATAACTTTTTTTCCACCCAAAACGACTGCAGAAATGTTTTTGAACATGCATTTCGCTGGATGTATGCCTTGCCAAATAATACAGAAGCTCTTCCTCCCATGCCAGAAGATGGTGGTCACTGGTCTGCGTTGCATAGCTGGGTGATGCCAACTCATTCGTTCCTTGAGTTCATAATGTTTTCCCGGTAATTTACTGAGGATCTGAAATCTAATAACATTTTTTGGTTTTATTCAGTCGCAGTCCTCAACACTAAAGGAAGTTGATGATGGTTAGTTATGAGAGTATTATAACTGAAATTTTGTATTTGAACTACAGGATGTTTGTCGATTCTCTGGATGCATTGCACAACAACAGCGGACAAAGCGTGTGCTTGTTGGGTTCTTCAGAGCTTGAGGTATGTCATATAAGTCTTTAGGTATAGTTTATCTGGTCCCACTGGGAGTTTAATTTTCCTCACCATTGTTTAATAATCAACAGCAAAAACATTGTTACTGTCGGGTATTAGAAGTCCTTGTCAATGTCTGGGCTTATCATAGTGCACGAAAGTTGGTTTACATAGATCCTATCTCTGGTTCAATGGAGGAGCAGCACCAAATTGATCAACGCCAAGCATTCATGTGGGCAAAATATTTCAATGCTATATTACTGAAGAGTATGGATGAAGATTTAGCAGAAGCTGCAGACGATGGTGACCATCCAAGGGAGAATTGGTTGTGGCCGCTAACTGGCGAAGTGCATTGGCAAGGAATTTATGAGAGGGAAAGGGAAGTGAGATACAGGCTAAAGATGGACAAGAAGAGGAAAACAAAAGAAAAATTACATGAAAGAATGAAGTACGGATACAAACAAAAGACGCTTGGAGGATAGGAAGGTTATAGTTGTACTTGAAATGGTCTAGTCCTAATTCTGTCACCCTCAGAATTACGATATGGTTACTGAACTCGTCAACTTGGGAGTGGGAGAAGAAGACTCTCGAGGATGGAGAGTACGATTTATTCTTTCTAACAGTGACGGTATGGTTTGTAAAGAGGAATTTTGTAGGTCTTTTTCTCTGACTGAATATATACATACTCGGAAGTGGGTGGAAGACAGTAGCTTTTCCAGCAATTGCAGCTCACTTAGCATGTGAGGCGTTTACACATTTCAAGTCGCAGAGGCAGAGGCTACCAAGTTTTTGAGCAGTGTACACAAACAGAGTCTGAGGCTACCTAGTTTTTGAGCAGTATACACAAACATTCGTTGAAATTATTTTTCACAATTGACAACATCATGTATTCTTTTGGCAATGTTGATAGGAAATTTTGATTAAAATAAAGCAGTTCTCGGTGGTTCTTGTTTTGATTTTTTCATACACTGAACGTACAGTTTCCCAGTGATTTTATTGTTCATGTCATCTTGGTTACACGTGTAATAATAGTGCCATGTTCGTGTTGAGAAGACTCGACGAGATTAATAATCATGTTGTGTTGATCTTGACCCAACTAGTCTAATACATGCCTCTTTATCCAGACACAAACTGTGCATGATTTAGTGTAATGCATCAATTTTCACGACAGAGGTGGTTAGATTACATGATGTGGGGGAAGAAAATGCATCAATTTTCCTACATCAGTGAATTGAATGTCCTCTTGCCCCTTGTTATTACGTCGACAATGGTAATCCAAACTTGAAAATAAGGTCTGACTAAGGTGACGGGGTGAGAGTGGTAAATGGGTTGTGTGGCGGGCCCTTTGCTCGGGCATCGGCCTATACAACTCAGTGATACATCAAGATGTATCACAACCTCAAAAGAAACACTAGCTAGGTTTCTCTTTGACAAGAACTGGCATGCAACATGTGAACTCGTAAGGCTGTATTTTACCCTAGCAATGGTATTAAGCAAAAAATCGATCTTCATGCTCTTGGTTTAGCAACGTCGTAAATCTCAACTCAGATAAGCACTCATATTTTCATCCATTACAAATATGTGGACAAACAAGATACAAGAACACCTTAACTTTCGGTTGAAGAATGATTTAGCCTTGCGCATTTATATTGAGTTTGTTCATATTCGTCCAGAGTTCTGAGCTCCAATAGCATTAACATAGCACATACTATATTCTAGCAGTTCCTGTAAATGCCTGAGCATATCTCTAATTTGTTGTTTACAAAGGGGAAAAAGAAACATCCATGTTTTAAGCAGCAGACGACCAGAGATTAAAGAGGCTGGTACAAAGTTACTTTACAAACAATTATATATGGTGTTTGTACATGGAATGAACTGAAAGTCACAGAAATTTCATGGGAATGAATTCTCATTGGTTGATCTGTTTAGGGCATAATTTCCTCTCTCTAGCTATCAAGTATCAAATGGTTTAGTTCATTTGGGAATAGCTGAGTTTACGAAAGTTGGGTAGAAGATTTTCTACCTTGCACTTCTTCCTTTTTATCCGGTGGCCGAGCCCCTAAAAATCCCTCAATAGCAACTCCAGAAGCCAGTGAGGATTGAACAACTATATCATAAGACTTTGGTGAGAGGTCAAGGCCCTGATTTTGAGCCGTCAAATATAAGTCATATGCAAGCCTTGGTTTACCTCCATTGGCAAGACCCTCAATCATCATTTCATATGTAACATTGTTTGGTGAAATGTTCTGATCCTTCATGCGCTGAAACCATTCATATGCAGCATTGGTTGAACCGTTTCGTGCAAACCCACTGATAATGGCATTGTATGTGACAACAGTTGGCTCGATTCCTGATGAAATCATCTCATGAATAATGGTATCTACCATATTCAATTTTCCGTGTCCACTGAACACTGAAGCCATAATTGTGTAGGCATACAAGTTCGGTTTTACACCAACCTTAAGCATATGTTCCCACACCTGCCGGGCCTCATCATAGAGTTTTCCCTTCTCAAGGGCACTAAGCAATGCTCCATAAGAAAGTACTGTAGGTTTTTGACCTTGTTCCACCATTCTTTTAAAAATCTTGACAGCAGCAGAAGTTTCTGCAGCCTTGGAACAGGCAACAAGAACTGCATTCCACTCCTTACTTCTAGGTTTCAGACCTTTCTCTTCCATCTTGTTGAGCAGCCTGATGCCCCATCTCCAAATTCCTCTTTTTCTAGCTGCAGTCAGAAGAACATTAAAGTGAGATACTATCAATTCATATGACATGTTATTTGGCTTCGGCCCCCTGTCCAACATATCCTCATAAATCTCCAAAGCTGCCCACCATTTCTTAGCCTTCCCCATCAACCAAATTACATGGTTACACACAGATATACCTATTTCAGTATGCCTTTCTCTTATCCTATTATACAATTCTTTTGCCACAGTATAATGTTCTTCACGGGTGCAAGCCCACAAAAGGCGCTCATGTTCTGCCCGACCGAGTGGAACCCCAGCAATATCCATCTGTGCTAGAAGTTTTAGAACGTTGTTACTTAAGTTATCGTCCTTCACAAGCCACCGGCGCATCACTTGGTAGCAAACACGTTTTGTAAAGTTCTCAAGCTGTATAAACTCATGTTCCCAGTCTTCAACAGACTCTTTACTTATATCACCTTTATGGTACTTTTCTCTGAACTCAATGAAGAACTGTAAAGCTCCATTTCCATCTTCCATTCGTTGATAAGCCAGCAATGCTGTAGAATAGGATACTGAAGATGGAATCAGGCCCTTCTTCTCAATATCCTCAAGAACATCAAGGGCCTTAGTACTTAGTCCTTGCTCTATGTAAATTGCCATTTTAGTATTGTAAGTTACAACATTCAGTTCCACCCCTTCCTGAGTCATAGCACTCAAGACTTTGTCCATTTCTCCAAATTGTTTAGACTGCTTCACTGCACCCAAAAGACTATTATATATGAATAAGTTTGGGGTAATCGAACCATTAGTTTCTTCACTCTTTCTCTTAAGCCATTCAACAACAGCAAATGCAGAATCCATCAATCTGTCTCTTCCGAAACCCCTGATCATGGATGAGAATACTTGAAGGGGCAAATCACCCTTGTCCTTAAGAACCACCTCTACATCATCTGCTGTTTTTGCAAACTGTAAGCTCAATGCTAGTGCACGCACATCAATCTTGTCATTTTTCTGCTCCCAATTCGCTCCTCGATTTCTTACATCTACTTCATTTTTATCTTCACCACCCTCTGCTCCATCCACAATTAGATGATCAATACCCTTACTCTCACCTTCCCCTGACAACCTATGTTCTGATGTGGATTCTTCTATAACAATGTCATTTCCAATTGCTTGTTCTTCCAATGCCCATGCTACTACAAACGAAGCACCAAAGGAATGCTTCTTAGACTGACAAATGCGAGCAGGTTTAAGTTTAGAGTACCCAGAAAAACACCCACAACCAAAATCGAATTTTGGGCTTCCGCTAAAAGCCTCAGCCCCAATAGCCCCTGAATTGCTAGAAAGTAATAATACAGCACCACTTCTACCATAACAAACAGGAAAACCAAGGCTCCACATCTTTTTTCTTCTTATCCTAGTACAAAATTTACAAGAAGAACCAAGTTCAAAGCCTAACTGGGGCACTGCCCAGGTTTCACCCCTTGAAGGCCAAGTGACCAAAGCTTGCATTTTCCATGAAATTTACAGGAAAAGAGAAACAACCCAGAATTGTATATCCTGTGGAAGAGTAGGATCATAAAGGTTGTCATTATACAAATTTCAACATAGTTTTCATCTTTAGAGAGAGAAAACTTAAATGAGAAACAACAACTATGAGAGATGTGGTTACATACCTGAACTCCAACAACAACTGTTAGTTTGATTCTGAGTTTGCGAAATTCCCAGAAATTGTGAGAGTAGATTGAAAAGGCGAGAGAAATAAATTTGCAATCTTGGGTTGTGCCACTAATAAAACCAAGTGAACTTCCCAAGTGGGTTTTGATTTTATTTCTCCATGGTGCTGTGGTTTTCTCACAGCCATTCAATTGTAATGACAAGAAAATAAGAGGTGAGAGCTACAAATCAGTCAAAAAATTGGAAAAAATGGGGAAAATGAAGCAGGCCAGGCCCTTCCATTTAATTTGTCTTGGGCTCAATCTAACGGACTCAGTTATTTATTCTGCCCTAATTACCCATTTACCCTCTGCAGAATGGTGGTCGGGTCGGGTGCGACCCCATGAGTATTGTGATTTTACCATTTACCCCCCATTCAAGTTGAAATAATTACACACCTCCCGCCCTCTCACAGCTTTACCAATTAGAATGCTGCCACTCAACGCTCGACAGTCGTTTTGTTTTTTTTCTATTTATTTTGTATTTCCATTTTGGCTTCTTACTCTCTCCCTCAGTCAGCCTCACTGTGTAGTTGCAGTAGGGTTTTGAAAAACCCCGAAACCTAATCTCTCGTCCTCAGTTCAGGTAATTCTCTCACTCTCTGTGCTTCTTTCGTTTTCCCAATTCTTAGGTGCTTCATTCTGACCCTCATTTCCAGATTTTTGCTTTTTTATCGCTATCTTTTGTGATTAGTCTGTTTGAGTTTACACATATCTTGTGGCAGTTTTAAATTCTTCAGTTCTCTGAAATTCATGTTTTTAATGTTGGGTTTTCTTGATATATCTCTCTTCTTATGTGGGTTGCTCTTGGCTTCTCTTGATGTTGATGTCTTTGGATTGTTTGCGTGCTTAAAACTGCGACCCTTTTGTACACACACATAAAACACACATGCTATGTTACTTTGTATATGTTGCTGATGCTCTATTTCTTCAATTAGTTACCAAAATCTGGCCCATATTAACTTGTGGCTATTTTAAAAATCATTCGGTTTATTTATTTATTTATTTTTAGTACAAGCGATAGTCTAAAGTCTAAACTAGAGAGGGGAGGGGGATTTCTCACACACACACACACAATGAAGATGCCATGGGGGTTCAAACCTAAGACCACCAGTCTCGAAGTCTAGCCCCTTTTTCCACTGGACTAGACCCCTATTGGCATCATTGGGTTAACTTCTCAGGCCTCTCTCTGCACTCAAAAATCCATGGAGCTAGACCAGTGAGCTATTACGCTTTCTCCAAAGGTTGATTTAAGAAAAGATTCATTGTGCTACTTTATTATTGTGTATTTTATTTATTTATGATTTACCCCGTTTTCTTTGGGTTGTCAGAGCCCTCTTAGGTGAGAATTCTTGTTGGTGACTGTATGTTTTGCCAAGTTTCAAATAAATTGTAGGAAACAAATAAGTTTGTATTTTGAACTCTCAAAACATCAATTCAAAATTATAATAAACCAGAGTTTATAACTCTTGAAAAGTGAACTTACACTTCTATATTATGATCTTGTTTTAATACTCATATTTTGATTCTATTTTCAAGTTGCACACAAATCATTCATGCCATATCCCCTACTGGTATATCCATGATAATTTCCTGAAGCACTGGGGCAACTTTTTGTTTCATTTGCTGGGGTTTTTGTTAATGTACAAAAGAAATTTTTGTGTAAGTTTCGACATTAATATTCCCCCTTATCTCCCTGTAGTCAATAGCATAAAGGTAGTATAAGATTTTCTTTCTTTTCCTTTCATCACCCATGATTTGTTTGAGCTTTCCATATTGACTGATGTGCTTGTGTATAATAGTACATTCAAGGTCATTTTATTCTGAAAGGGAAAGTAAGACTTATGATTCAGGAGCCATGGTGATTGTGATGACGAGTCATCATTGTATATCTTTGAAACGTTATTTACCCAAATGATTAAAGTTATATATTTCTCCAGTTTGGTTCTTTTTAAAGTTCAGTGTTGGCTTCACTTGTCTTTCCTTACTACTTGATTTGTTGTATCTCAATCAATTCTTTTGTTTTTTGTTTGTCTTTGAATTTATTTTATTTTAATGATTCCTGACTACCATTGTTGTTCAGAGCATTTTTCCTCCTATTAATAATGTTGTCCTTCTGTTAAAATATGAAACAGATTCATTATTAGAAGACCCAATTTTTGGACATATTTTTGGACATTTTCATGTTGGATACCATTTGTGATTGAGAGACATAAGTATTCATGTAGTGCCTGTTTTGATCCTTTATTCTAATTACTTAGACATCATCCAAATATCCAAAATACAAATAAGATTTCACAAGTGGCAAATGATTTTTTTTTTTAATGTAATTTTTTTGTATTAAATTGTTAGTGTCTGTTTGTTCATTAGATATTTTTAAATGCAATGTTTCTGTATCTCACATAGCTTACCTGCGTGTAGGTTTGAATTTCACAAGTGGCGAACTTTGTGAATGTAATGCATGCTATAAAGGGTGGCTGGGCAGGGCGTACATTTGCCCTGGCTAAAAACAATGAATCTGAAGGAAGGAAGTCCCGAATTCGGCGTTCAAAGGAGGAGAGGAAGGCAATGGTTGAATCCTTTATAAAAACGTAATCACATTATATGATTATAGTTTCTTTGTTCAAATTTGCTACCGTTCTAACTTACTGAGAAAAGGATGTAAAAATCACTAATCTGTTAACCAATATAGTTCTGAAGAAATCTACTAAGATTATGGGCACCAGTAATAAATTTGATCTTCTCCCGATCCTTTACACAGGATAATGAAATAAGAATGAATTCTATATTCCTGTATTAAATTATCTTAAATTGGAAGCTGTTGACCAAGCATTACCTATTGTACATTATGATTGTTTGTTTTTGTACTACTTTATTCTTATTCAGCAGGATACCACTGCTTTTGGATGTCTTTAAGTCATGGTCCGTTTTCTACATCTGTGTTTATTGCTTCTCGATGAGCTTATGACCAACTTTGAAGATATATGCTTCCTTCCGATTGATTGCCACCCAAATTGTTTGACGTACAGTGCTTTGATATTTTTTTATTTTACCTGTAAGAATAAAGAAAATTTATTCTGTCTGACCACTCTGTTAAGGACTTTTTATTTTTATGTTTCTCAAGATCAGGTCAATGAACAGGAAAAGCTAATAGTAACCTTGATGTTTCATAGGAATAAAACATATAATTGTGCCGTACTTGCAATATTGTTTAGTTGGACCAATTTTTATAGGTATGTGCAGTAGTACTGTTGCCTGTTATAAGCTTGAGGGACTATTAGGATATAATAGTGCTACTGTTGTATTTTCTTATTCGTAAGATTTTTGAATATCTATTTTCCATTTGTGAATTTCTCAAGGAAGCAGATAACTGCAACCTGTTTAGTGATATTGCTTACAGGTATCAGAAACTAAACAATGGGAGTTTCCCATCACTTAATCTGACCCACAAGGAAGTTGGCGGGTCTTTCTACACTGTACGAGAGATTGTCCGAGATATAATCCAGGAAAATAGAGTGCTGGGTCCTGCTAAGTTTACTGCAGAGGAGCAGACCATTGATCATTTCTTGGAACAAAATCCATTGGGTTCCATCGCTACAGAACCACCAAATACTCTGTCAATATCATTAAATCAATCTCAGTTTATCTCCAATCAAAATCAGGGTAGAATTGAAGAACTGGTTTTCACATCGGATGGGCATTTAGCTACACTTGAACGTCAGAATTTTGACAATGGGAAAATCATCAATGGTACTCAAGTTGAAGTGAATAACAAAGAGTTTGAACTGAAAAGTACAGAGTTACGAGTAAAAGGACCAGTGGAAACAGAGAAGAATGTTGCTGAAGAATCTGTAGTTCATAATGGGGATTGTATTGGGCCTGAATATCAGATGGTTGACAATGGATTAATCAATGGTAACCAGGTAGATCTGAAAGACCAAAAAACTGAGGAACTGACGTGTACAGAGCTACGAACAATTGAACCTTTGGAAGCAGAGAAGAATGTTGAAGAAGTTCCGGAAACATCTAGGTCTAAAGTGACTCCTATAGCAGCAGATGTGATAGTGGAGACATTTCCATTAAAGCCGGCTAATGAGACAAGTGAGAGCTTGGATGGAAGGTTACAAGGAGTAACAGATTTGGCTATATCTACCGAGGATCGAGTAGAGGAGAATCTTTCAAGTCCATTGCTTGAGAACAATTCCGGCTCACTGGATGAGGAAGCATTAGGAAATGCCAGAGATCCATCACTTGAAAGCTCAAATTGCTCAACCTTTAACGATGGTGTTGTGCGTGAAAAAGGAAGCACAGACCTTAATGTCAAAGCACCTCATAAAGATGTTCCATCATCTGAGATCTTAGAACAAAGTCAGCTGACTGCTGGGCCTAAGGTAGTTTTATTTTGAATGTCTATAGATTTTTCATAATTGTTCTCTTAATTATTAATATATAATTAAAAATGAAGTGTTGATATGGTCATGTATTTGCATTCTTGCAATTCATGATTGGTTGTGCCCTCAATTTTAATATTGTTAGTCTGGTTCTAGTAATGATGTTAACACTGCTGGTTGGAATTTGCTTCAACATTGTCTCTTAGATTGATAGTAAGGATTCAATTATCCATACCATATTGAGTGCAGAATTCTCTTTTGCTCTTAACAATAGTTGCTTTTGTTCAAATCATGT